GAATCCGACTCTAGGGGGCGGTGCTCATCTCCGTTTCCAAGCCGAAGAGCCAGCGCTGTCCGAAGATGTTTCCGTGGTCATGTGGCCGGCATGACTAGACACCGAGGCGCACGGAACACTGTTACCTTCCTACCGAAGCGGTACCTGTTTATTTACTTGCAATTTCTTGCTTTTGAACTGCTAGGCTGGCAGGAGCTGGGGCCAGAGATGGGAGCTCACTCTGTCATCATAATAATAATAATAATAATAATAATAATAATAATAATAATTTCGATTTATTAATCACTTTTCCACACACACCTGTGGGCTCAGAGCGATTTAGTTACTCATGACATTTGGACTAACAATACTCGTGGGGGATAGGGAAGACAACATACAGTATTTTTAATTACACACACATTGTAGCTGGCCGGAGGATTCATCTGCGGGCTGGATCAGTCGTGTTCCAACGGCATGTATTCTTGTCGGCTGGCAGATGACGTCAGGGCTTCTTGGTGTCGTGCTGCCACACTGCCACCGCCTGGCTGACTTGCTCCACTGCAGGGAAGCCAAAACAGCTCTTTCATCTTTCGATTTTGCCGCGCCTCAGAAGTCACACTCGGCAGCTAACACCTTCCCAGAGGGTAGGGTTGCCAAGTCTACTTAGCCCTCGGAGTGGGGGAGCCTCGCTGGGCTCCAGGAGCTCTTGTCCCCTGCGCCACCGCTCCCTGCGGCACACTCGGGTCTCGATCTGCCAAACTACAGACTTTCCACAATTAAAACCCCCAAAACATTCCTCTGATACAAATCATAGTTAAAACCTCACACTGATGTTGTCTATTTTGAGTTTGGGCCCTTTGATGATAATACAGACCTGATCCGCTGAGGGGATACCCAGTAGAGAGCCTGCAGGGTTCTTTTTGTAGCAGGAACTCCTTTGCAATTTAGGGGACACACCCCTTATGTAGCCAATCCTCCAAGATCTTACAGAGCTCTTCTCACAGGGGCTACTGTAAGCTCTTGGAAGATTGGCTACATTAGGGGTGTATCGCCTAATATGCAAAGTGGCTACATTAGGGGTGTGTCGCCTAATATGCAAAGGAGTTTCTGCTACAAAAAGAGCCCTCTTGGCCGGTGAGCCACTGATGTCCCTTCTTCTTTCATTTTACACATCAAAAGTACTGGATGGGGGGTTTCCAGTTCTTCATTTGACCATCTCCTTCAGCCCGCTTCACTGATCCTCTTTGTTTTCCTTTCTCGATTCTCCAGGTGCGGTCGGTGACTGGAAAAACCATTTCACTCCCAAACAGAACAGGATGTTTGAAGAGACGTTCGCGGAGAAAATGAAATCCAGCAAAGTGGCAAAGCATATCGTTTACGAATTCTGACGGGGGAAAAGGACACACTGGCTGTCTGCTGCCCAGATGGCGAAATGCGTGGGCCATACGATTGTAAATGCATAGTCGTTCTGAATTTATGTACTCAGACAATTCCCTCCGATGAGGAATGTGGAAAGTGTCTCTAGCAGGGTGTGAAGCTAGGATGTCGGAGTGGTTATGGGTTTAGACTGGGGTCCCCAGCATCGCACCCACGGGGCTTTTGTTCAGGTGGTGCTTTTGTTCAGCACGGCTTCTGATTGGCCACTGGAGATCTGATCGGCTGTGCAGACTTTTTTAAAAGTTACTTTGGCAGCAGTTGACACCACAGCACAAGGATCTTTACTGTGTGACTGAAAGTCAACCGTGGCAGTCATTTTGGGGCTGGCTTTGCCTCCTGCTGCAGCCACATTGTGGCAGCCATTTTATGACTGCGTCCACCATACTGTGTCAGAATTCCAAACATGTCCACAGCAGGCCCGTCACTACAGTGGGGCATTTGGGGGCCATGCCCCCTTAATTTACAGCCACGCCCCACAAGTTTACATCACGGGAGTAATTATTCTAAAACAGCTGGTGGGAGCTGCCTCAGTGCTGCTGCTGCTGCTGCTCCCCAATTTTTTTAAAAATAATTTTGTGATGTCAGAAGTGACATCATGCCCCACTGGTTTCCCCCGTGGGCCCCTCCCTGAGAATTTCCTGGCTGAGAATTTTTGGTCCACAGGCTCAAAAAAGCTGGGGACCTCTCATTTAGACTGTTGTGTTCTTCCTGTGGATGGTAAATTATTCACGGCTACCACTTGGGTTGCCAAGTCTGGGTTGGAAAATACCTGGAGACTTTGGGGGTGGAGCCAGGAGAGGGTGTGGTTTGAGGAGGGGAGGGGCCTCAGCATAGTACAATGCCGTAGAGTCCACCCTTCAAAGCAGTCATTTTCTCCAGGGGAGCTGATCTCTGTCGGCTGGGGATCAGTTGTAAAAGCGGGAGATTCCCCAGGCCCCACCTGGAGACTGGCAACCCTAGCTACCACCTGCTCTGGAAAAGCTTGATGCTTCTCACACATTATGTCATGTGCAAGCACATACATGTTGCACGCACAGGTGTTTGTGAAAATGTCCGGACATAACTGAATTCTGATTTTGTACAGGTTAATAATCATGAGCATTAATAATAATTAATTACTATATATAATGTGTATTACAATAATTGTAATTAATATAACTATAAGTAGTAGGGACAGGCCAATGCATTTGGGTGTCAAAGATGGAAGACGTAACTGGTACTCCACCCATGCATGAATTAACATGGGTTTCTATGTCCCCCTGGGGCTTTATTGCTTAGTTTGTGATTTGTTTGTTGGAAAATTTGGAAATAAAAAAATACATTTTACAAAAATGTAATCCCAGGAAATCTCCAGGCCCCAGCAGGAGACGGGCAACCCTGCTCCTGCCCTTTAATGGCCCCTGAAGTCCATCCTTGCTTATGAAAACAATAGAAGTATATCCTCTAAGGCAGCAGTTTTCATCCCAAGCATTGGACCCTCAGCTGTGTTGCAGAGCGCCACCTGCTGGCTTGTGAGCCCCCATACAGGTGTAGTTTCTTCCCTGCCTTTTGAAGAGCCTGCTGCCGATATCTGCCTGGGTAGAGATTGAGGGCACCACACCGCCTGCCATTTTTCATATGTGCACTGAGAGGACGAGTGGAGTGATGAGAGTGGAGAGAATTCCTTTTTTAGCACTGGCAGATTCAGCAGTAGAATCATCGAATCATAGAATGTTAGAGTTGGAAGGGACCTTGCAGGTCATCTAGTCCAACCCACTGCACTCTGCAGGAGCATAGCCGAAAGATAGCCCTACAACAGACCCGAAAGAGGGTCGTCCAGCCTCCGCTTGAAAACGTCCAGCGAAGGAGCATCCACCACCTCCCGAGGCAGACTGTTCCACTGCTCAACCACTCTTACAGTTAGGAAGTTTCTCCTGATATTTAGCCGGTTTCGACTCCCTTGTAATTTCCACCCATTAGATCTAGTCTTGCAATCCAGAGCAAGAGAGAATCGATCTGCTCCATCTTCTACATGACAGCCCTTCAGATATTGGAAGACTGCAATCATGTCCCCTCTAAGCCTTCTCTTTCCCAGGCTAAACCCAACTCTTTCAGCCTTTCCTCATAAGACTTGGATTCCAACCCTCTCACCATCCTGGTTGCCCTCTTCTGGACACGCTCGACACGCTTCTGGACACGCTTGAGTACCCCCACCTAGAGTTGCCAGACCCCCTGGTGGAGGGAGGGGTCCCCTGCTGCCAGGCCCCACTGATTAGCTGGCCATCAGCT